CACAGAAACTCAAAACAAAGATACCTAAAATTGTTAATTTTTGATAATGAGCATTACTGTTGTCATTTTACCACCTCATTGTTACTTTCTAAATTGGACCTACTTCACAAATTAGAGCTGGGCTCCCTTGGAGCCAAGCCTCTATTATAGATATTGGTACGATCTGGCTGTGATCAAAAACAATTTTCTGCATTCTACCCATCAAAGAGTACTTCTACCACTGTTTAGAAAAAGATCATTGAAGAAAAGAATAAGATGTTTAAATTGGATTCTCTAAAATAACATATTTTTAACAGACAGAATTTATTTATTTATTTATTTATTTATTTATTTTTTTTTTTTGAGACAGAGTCTCACTCTGTTGCCCTGGCTAGAGTGAGTGCCGTGGCCTTAGTCTAGCTCACAGCAACCTCAAACTCCTGGGCTCAAGCGATCCTTCTGCCTCAGCCTCCCGAGTAGCTGGGACTACAGGCATGTGCCACCATGCCTGGCTAATTTTTTCTATATATTTTTAGTTGTCTGATTAATTTCTTTCTATTTTTAGTAGAGACGGGGTCTCACTCTTGCTCAGGCTGGTTTCAAACTCCTGAGCTCAAACAATCCGCCCGCCTCGGCCTCCCAGAGAGCTAGGATTACAGGCATGAGCCACCGCGCCAGGCCAACAGACAGAATTTAGACATAATTAAGTGGTTGTATACTTGATTGTAACAGTCATCTTTTTTAAAAGCAAAATTATGCGTAAATGTTAACTACCCCTAAACAAAGGGTACAGCTTTGTATTTGGAAATAAATTTTTGGTTATATTGTTTTCTTGGTTCAAAGTAACAATATATTATTATAGTAGAAATTTATTTATGAGTTGCCACAAAGTCTGCATTTTTGAAATATTGAATAAAAGTACATTTGCTATTTTTTAAAAATTAAAAAAACTTTATGGCGTCTTTTGCTAAAAATGTTTACTCTTTCATTGTCAAATACGTTTATATTTCTCTTTATTTTCTGAGTATCCTGCCTTAATAAAAAGAGTATCATGAACCCATAAAAAACACACAGATATACATATGCACATAGGATCTCGTAATTTAACTGTTTTTATTTTTTCTTTTAAAATTAACGTCTCCAAATAAACCTCTTTCTTGTGAATGCTTGCTCACTAATTCATCTGTTTTTATTTTTTACTTTTTGTTTTTAAAATATATATGTTGTAAGGAAGAGGTGCAGATCAGTACTTTTGTCCCTTTTTATCTCATTGATTACTTTGAGTGATAAAAACTGTGATAAAAACTTTTTCTCAGAATGATGTATAGACCCACTAAATTTTGCATATACTGTCAGAATATGCAAATAATGGCTTTTGATTATAGCCAATATGTAAGTTTATTGACTACATGTTACTGAAATAATGTCTACTTAAAATACCTTTCTTTGGTTTATCCAATAGGATGCCCTTAGAAGTATGACCCTTGTACATTATTGAATGTAGTTTATTGTTGCTCAAATATAGGGCCCTCATGTAGTTTATGTACTTTTAAAATAGTGCAAGCTCTATGTGTAAAGCAAGCCCAGAGCAAATTCATTGTCATGTCAGATGTTATTGTCTGTATTAGTCCTGAAACTCTCATTGCTATTCAGGGTTCTTAGACATTACACATATTTATCCTGGTGCTTTGTGCCTAATACATGGTTTCTATCAACCTTCCCCTTCATCTTATCTGTTTTACCAAAATCACCCAATTTGCCTTGATGTCTTCATACACTAATCTCACAGACCCTAAAATTGTGTTCATTGGAAAAGTAAACGAGCCTATAGAATTCTTTCTTTAACATAATAAAACTTTAATTTTCCTTTGGCCAATAATTTGATATATTGTCTTCTTTTAGGCAGTCTCAAGAACATAAGACTATCTTGGCAATTTTTGGGTTGTAAGTGCATGGAACTAGAGAAAGAACGGATTTTATGCTCCTTTCCTGTTCTTTTATTCATAGTTTTCATTGCTGTCAGTTATGTTGATCAGTTTTTACCAAGGCAATGGAATTTGACATTACTGTATGAGAACACAAACTTTGAATTCAGACAAAATCGGATTTATATCCTTGTACCACTCATTTTTAATTTCTCTGAGCCTCCTGATTTTTATCTTTTAAACAAAATTAAACTAAATATAATGTTTTATATGAAAAGTTGGGTATTTACAAAAACTCTTTTTGAAACTAATTTTTAATGGTTAGTAACAACCTATATGCCAAATGAAGTAGTTTTTCTAAAGTTATATTCATTCACGGCTCTCTCTGCATTATTCAACAGAAATCACTAAATTGCTTGGTGAATTTCCATTTCGCCTTGTTTTCCATTCACATTGTATATCCATGGTTTTTCTTCTTCCTCTCTACCTTTATGATTCTATTCTATCTGATTCTATTATCTCTTAATACCCTACAGGATAAGCCCTTCTTCTCTAACTGTATAGGACTCTTCATTGCCCCTATATCTTGTCTTGATCATCCCTACACTTGGTTTTTGCTCATTCTTTACCTCTGACTAGAATGAATTTGTACCCACCTAAATCCCATCTCTCCTTCAGGGAAATATCTCCTTGAGGCTTTTCACAGCCTCTCCGGTCCGATTAAGTCTCTTTTCTGAATGTCTACATATTAAATGAGAAAATATATGTGAAAATAATTTTTAAAAAATAAAATGTTTTTTCTGTTCAATCAGTATTCGATACTCAAGATATTATCGATATTGAGTCACCTTCATACATAACTGATGTAAAGCTTCCTCATGTGGTACTCATTTTTTAGAGATTTTTTTAAAGTTTTATTGGTGTATACTTAACATACAATAAACTGCATCTTTAAATTATCCAATTTGATAAGATTTGGCATACATACACACATCAAACTATCCCCACAATCAAGATAATGAATAAATCCGACATCTTCAGGTTCTTTATGCAGCTTTGAAATTTCCTCTCCCATTCTTCCTCTATCGTAGGCAATCACTGATCCTGTTATTACAGATTAATTTTTGTTTTCTAGGATTCTGTATAATGAAATCACGGTTTTATTCTTTTTTAGCCTCACTTCTTTCATTCTGCTTAATTATGTTGAGATTAATTCATGTTGCTTGCATCAACATGAATTATTTATTATTTATTTAGCAATAAAAAGAAATAAACTATTCTGTCATGGATATACTTCAATTTGTTTACTACTGTTAATGAACATTTATCATTTTTCCAATTTTTTGATATTAACAAGTACTGCTATGAACATTTATGTACACATCTTTGTATGGACATAGGCTTTTATTATTCTTGGGAAATTACTTAGGAGTGGAATGGCTGGACCACATGGTAAGTGTGTGCCTTTTTCAAAAAGCGTCAGACTGTTTTTATGTTCTCACTAGCAGAAAATGAGACTTTCAGTTGCTATACATCCTTGCTAATATTTTGTATGGTTAGGCTTTTTAATTTTAGACATTCTAATAGGTGGAATGTGATAGTTCATTGTGGCTTTAATTGGCATAGTGTTTCAGTATGACTTAAAGGATAAAAGTTGAATATCCATTTTTTTTGCCTTTTTTTGAACTTCTGAATTTGGGAAGTCTTGAGTTCTGTGTTAGCAGCTTTCTTCTTTGAAAAAAAAATATGTTTAAAGTTTATGTCTTTGCTTGGCACTTTAAATACACAATGTACTTGTTGACATTCATACATAATTTTTAAATGGTAACAGTAAAAGGAATCAGAAGTAGTAATAGTAAAAGCATCATTTCTCTTAAATAAATAAGCCTATGCCCTTAGAAATATTTAGAACCTGACTTTTATAGTTTATGCTCTCATTTGTCAGTTCTAATTGTTTAGAAAAAAGCAAAAGAATCCTTTTAAAAAATTTTGTTTGTAATAAAATTGTTTCTTTTTAGAAACTTACTCATAATTATGAAGGACAAAGGAATTTGAGCCAACATTTCTCTAAGAAGCTTTTTGTAATATCTTTAGTCATTAGATTATTTTTGAACAAAATAGCTATAACTCGAGATTTGAAACTTTATTACACAAAAAGCAGGAGAAAACTACACACTCAAGTGCTGTTTTATATCAAATAAGGATTGACAACAGTGTTTTTATGCATCTATTCTGCCCACATAAGAAGCCAGCTTCATCATCTGGATTTGTCCTGGGGCTGAAACTTTTTATAAATATGAGAATTATACTTTTTTTAAAAAAAAATGGCAAATAGAATATGGTATCCAGCTGTGGATTTGCTTATATATTATATTTGCATTTATTTCCTGGGCTTGTTTTATACAGTATATGGCAATATGTTGTCATAAAAATTCCATGATTAATGCTTATTTATGAAATCTTGTGTAAATATCTTAGAACTCAGTCAAACAATGTGCAAGTTAAACAGTTTTTTTTTTCCTGAGTAGTGGAATGACATATCCCATGGGAATAGTAGGTTGGATATGTTCTTTATCTATGGAAAAGTCTCATGTAACATTGCTCTTTTACTATTCTGTATTATATCATTCTTTTTTAAAATTTATTTTGCTAGGCAAGAAATGTAGTTTCACATCTATTCTTAGGAAAAATAGAGGAAATTTAGATGTGGAAATTATTTAGAAATAGGTATGGTAATTATTTAATATTTCACTTAATAATTTACTAGGATATATTTTCTAATTTTGATCCTGTCCTCTGGTTAAGAGGCATTTGTATTTATTCTGTTATCTATATGTGAAAATAAATCTGTTCAATAATAAGTTGTGCTTTTATTACTATGGTTTTAATCCACAAAAAATGCTGGATTATAAAATATCACAGTATGAGTATGAAGCAAATTTCAAGTGTGAATAAATCATGATCAGTGATACATTAGTAGACTTTTGTAGATTCTTGTTTCTCCAGACTGGTTAATTTATGCATATTTAATATTTCAGTGAATTGTGACTTGAAATTGAAAGACTTGTTTTCCCTTTTTTTTTCTCTTATGCTCAGGTCCAGCTCTTCTGTGAGATAACTGATACCATGAATAAGGTCTGGAATAAGATTCAGAAGAGAGGCAATCTCAGTCCATCTTCAGCCTATACAGACACCATGGCAGGGCCTGTCCCTACTTCTCCAGTTAGAAGCAGTGTGGGTACAGCTCCTCCAGATACTAGCACATGCAGCCCATCTGCCGACATTGGAACTACTACTGAGGTAAGTGTTTTTGAAAGATTCTGTTACCAAATAATCCAGAGTTCCATACGATGGTTAAGAATGATGATAACCTTACCACTGTGGAAGCTGACAGATTCAAAAGAATCATGAGAAGCTGTGGCAGCAATGACTGTGTATTACTATTACTTTTAGGTCTGAGTGTTTTTATCACTTTCAGTAGGTTATGAGGTAGTTCAAGAAAGTACATGCTCTATGAAATGATAAAAACTGAGACATAGTAAGACATGTTTCCTCAGAAGTATGGAACTTAGAAGCTGAGTGAAAAAGAAACTCGTGTTTCTCCTTTCCCTACTTCTGTGCCTCTGCCTCTTTTTTGAACCAGGATATATTGTAATCTTTAGATTAGTGGTTTTCAGCCCTACTATACCCAATGCCCTCTCCTTCTTCCCCCCAATCACAAAAGCCTTTCTTTTTATTTTTTATATCCTAATCTCACCCAGCATGCCAGTGACTGTTTTATGTAACAAATATTTTATTTGCTTCCTTTACCATCCCAAAATGAAAATGAAAAAGAATGTAACCTACATATACATGTAATTTCAAAAATATATAATATCATAAATAAAATATAAAGGATAAATAAAATGAAACTAAGTTAAAACACAATAATATGTATTTCAGTATATAAATGCCTTGGCATGATTACATAATGGAGTACTCAGATACATATAATAACTGTGAATATGATGACTACAAATAGAATTGTACAGGTCTACATTAAATATCACAGATGGTATTGCTGTTGGGGGCATGATTTTCTGAAATAGTGACAAATTCATAGTAAGGTTTTTGAACAAAACATTGTTCAATCTTTCATTGTAGTGGTTGTGTTTCTGGAACTCTTAGTGTATATTAAAATCATGCAAAAATGAAAAAAATTATGTTTAGGTTTAGAACAGATTATGTAAACAGAATTTTCACCTACATGAATGTCTGCTAGACAATCTTCATTTTGCAGGACTGTCCTATTCAACTGCAGTCCCCAACCCCTGGGTCACAGACTGTTACAGGTCTGTTAGGAACTGGGCTGCACAGCAGGAGGTGAAGAGGGGCAGAGTGAAGCTTCCTCTGTATTTACAGCCGCTCCGGATCACTTGCATCGCGCATAAGCTCCGCCTCCTGTCAGATCAGCATAGCATTAGATTCTCATAGGAGCACGAATCATGCAGTAAACTGCACGTGTAAGGGATCTAGGTTGTACACTCTTTATGATGATCTAAAGTGGAGCTGAGGTGGTGATGCTAGCACTGGAAAGCAGCTGCAAATACAGATTATCGTTAGCAGAGAGGTTTGAGTGCACAATAGATGGAATGTGCTTGAATCATCTGGAAATCATCCTCCCCTGTCCCCCAGTCCATGGAAGAATTGTCTTCCATGAAACTGGTCCCTGGTGCTAAAAAGGTTGGGGACTACTGCTGTTCAACACAGGGCCTCTTGTATCTCTAACTTCTAACCCTTAAATGCCAGTAGTGACACACAATCATTGAGTTAACCAAAAACACCCTCTTTTATTTGCAAAACACCCCTTAGATGGCTGAACTTCCCCTTGCCCCCCAGAACTACTGATCTATAGCAGATGGAAGGAGAAGATATGTGTTTTTTCCTGCATAAAGACACCATTTCCTCTGGAAACAAAGCTATTGGCAAAATACAGAATGTGAAAAGAATCAAGTAAAGGGGATGTTAATTTTTTCTATCTTACAAATCAGTAAAAGCAAATTCACTCATTTAAAAGGGCAAATTTCACCTGCTGTGAGGCTTTAAACACTTTGAAGTAGATCTGTTTAACCCTCTGTACAAGCAACTATCTGCCTATTCCAAATCTTTAGAAACATGGTGACCTAAGTGATGGGATTATTCTTTCCTTTTCTTTTTCTTTTTTTCCCAATGAGAAAGAAGTGAAAAGTCTAGAAATGAGCCCTTAATGAAGTTAATGGGGCATATCCTTTCTGGAGTAAAACCAATGAATTCTGTCTTGGAAATTCCCAATGTTATGAGCACACAAAAGTTTTTAGAAGTCCTGCAGTAAAGAAAGCCATTTAACTTTATTCAATGCAGCAGTGTCCAAACTTATTTAAGCAAAGACCCATTTTTCACAGTCTACCAATTAACACCGTACAAAATATATGTTGTGAAATGCTTTGATAATCAAGGTTTGAAGTAATAAATTGTTAGACAAGGGTAGTACTAGTGAAATTGATAAATACAGTTAAATCTTAGAGACATTTAGTGGCAGAAAGGAGAGTGTTCCATTAAACAATTGTTTGCTAAGTACTGTATTCACAGCGATGTCAAGAGGAACATGACATCCTATTTTGGAAGAGTTCTTCTGTAAAGAAACATTTAAAAAACATTATAAGTGCAGGAAAGACAGGGCTAACATAGAATGGTCACAGCTATTGTTCATACATCTAGAGACTATCATTCATACAAGGTATAGTATGAATGGTGCATTCTAGAATTGTACAGTATACAACCTACATGAAGGACATAGTGGCCTTGATATGAGAGACAAAACAAATAAACATGCCCTTCAGTTATAGAGGAAGGTGTTGATAATTAATGTTAGAATAAATTTGTTAATAATTCATTCTAAAAGATCTGTGGATATTTTGTGGAGGAAGTAATATTTGAGATGGATCTTAAAAAACGAATATGACATGGGTAGCAATTTTGTTTTAGTAGGTTTGTAATAAATATGATAGAATAAAAGAATGGTGTCTTCATTAGTCAAAGTGAGGAAATGGAGAGACTAAGAAAGGGAGTGATTTTGCTCAATCACTTAAAAACAAATTAATTCTGATTTTAATAAGTTTTTTGTATGACTACAATTTACTTCAAATTAGAAAGTTGATTTTTTTCTCATTGGCTTATAAAGATAAATAATGAAAATACTTATGGTAGATTTGTTAGTTTTGTGCTAGCTATGGATGTAATCTGATCTGTATGACAAAAATCTGAAAACGAAAGAATGTTAATGCAAAGATTCATAAATTAATATTTAAGAAAGACCAGGTAAATCAGTTCACAGAGAAGGTAGCACAGGTTAATGGGTATATGGGGGGATGGATGGAGATGTGGCAAGTTTTTCAAAATGTGCCCTCTTCTCTTTTTATATAGTGTGGTCAAGAAAAGAGATAGGTAATTACTACTAGTTCAGTATCAATTAGAAACCCACAGTCACTAGGGAAGCTTGTTCTGTGAGAAGTATCTTAAAATAATTTAGCTAGTTTGTTTTCTATAAACAGCAGGAATATTTTCATGAAGATGGTTATGATATGATCAGTGTTAAGGCTTTGATTTAACTTTACCTTACAACTTAGAAGGAGGTGTATGTCTGTTGAATATTTCACTTTTCTCTTCTTGCTCTCAAGAAAATATTTATATGGAAATCAAGATTAGCCATGCGCATCTGAGTTTAAATTTACCTCTTTCAGAATTAGCCAGTAGGTCGCATGCAGTGGCTCACACCTGTAACCCCAGCAGTTTGGAAGGCCAAGGCAGGAGGGTCACTTGAGACCAAGAGTTTGACACCAGCCTGGACAACATAGTGAGACCTCATCTCTACAAAAAATAAATAAAAAAATTTAAAAATTAGCTGGACAATGGTGACATGCACGTGTACTCCCAGCTACTCGTGAGGCTGAGGTGGGAGGATCACTTGAGCCCAGGAGTTTGATGCTGCAGTGAGCTATCTATGATGGATCATACCACGGTACTTTAGCCTAAGCGACAGAGTGAGACCCTGTCTCAAAAAAACAAAAGAAATAGCCAGTAAATGATGACATCAGAAAATATAGTCAGTGTTTCCCCCAGTGTGTATGGTTACTTCTTTATCTATAACTCATCCTGTAGTTGTTTTATTCATTTAGAATTCAAAATCTGTGCCCAAGCTTTCATTTCTCATTTCCCTTTGTTTATAATGCTGCCAGACCTGTGCTTAATGACTTTTGTAATTTTTGTTCCTTTTATTTGGGTTCTAACACGGTAGATTATGTTATTGTGACCCTTTGAATTCCCATGTAAAAACTGTTTTTGTAATTTTGATGAATTTGCATGTATATTTAAATGGATTACCTGCTGAGTAGAAATAAAACCTTGCTCTCTCCTGAGAGAAGCTACTGAATGAATGACACTATAGAGAACTTATAAAAGGAGAGAGTATATAAATGTATTTTGTTTTATTCCATTCAAAAAGACTTTATACTTCTTTGGACACAGCATTCTTGGAAAGCTCTAGGAGTCCTTTGCTCTTCTTGGTAATCATTTTATCTTTTTATTTATTTATTCATTTATTTTTGTTTTGATTTTTGAGACAGAGTCTTGCTCTCTCCCCCATGCTAGAGTGCAGTGCCATCACAGCTCACTGCAACCTCAAACTCCCAGGTTCGAGCAATCCTCCTGCTTTAGCCTGCTGAGTAGCTGGGACTACAGGCGCATGCCACCACACCTGGCTAATTTTTTAATTTTATGTAGAAACAGGGTCTCACTATGTTGTACAAGTTGGTCTCAAACTACTGGCCTCAAACAATCCTCCTGCCTTGGCCTCCCAAAGTGCTAGGATTACAAGTGTGAGCCACTACGCCTGGCCCTAATAATCTTTTGATTATAGGAAGACTTTCCGTTAGAAACACCATCATTGTAAGCAATGGGTCTATTTACAGATTTAAATATACAGTTTATATGCTGTGATTAGTCATAGCAGTAGTATTTCCCAACCTTTTTCATGTCATTGCATATATAGAAAATGATATTTATATCTGCAGTAAGCAGACAAAGCTCTAAGACAGTGAAAGCTCCATTTACCCCAGGGCCCATGCAAAGACTCTAGGGGCCAACGGAATCCATGTCTCAACATACCTGTGATACATCCCATGTGTCTCAGCACACTAGTTAGCAAGCTCTGAATTATAGTTCCTCTTTGATAAATACATTTTTAATATTTTTATTATTGCCCCATTAACTAGGTATTAATGAAT